GAGGCCATCGGGTACTTCAGAGCGCCGCCTGGCCTTGAGGCCCCAGCAGCTGCCCCCGCGGCCCGAGCAGGCGGGGGCCCCCGCGGATCCCGCGGCGCGTCGGGCGCGCGCGGACGAGCTGGGCCGTCGGCTGTCGTGCTTCGCTGGGGGCGTCGAGTGCGGCGAGAGCTTCCCGGCGCGGGGCGCGGCGACATGGGGCACTTTCGAGCAGTGCGCCGACCGCGTCGGGGAGTTCGAGGACTTCAGCGGGGCCAGGAGCGACCGGGACCTCGACGCGCTCGTGGTCGCCTACCTGGAGGACGTGTTCCTGGTGGGTGCGGCCAGTCACGCTGGGAGCTACCTGCTGGCGGCCCTCGAGGCTCTCCTCATGGCGCTGGGCCGGCGCGGCCAGCGCCTGTTCCCGCGGGCCCGCCGCGCCCTGGTGGGGTGGCAGCAGCGTTATCCAGGCCGCTCACAGCCCCCCCGCGCGCGGGCGCTCGCGCGCGGGCTAGCGGTGCGGTTGCTGCAGAGAGGGGTGCACAAGATGGGCTTCTGGTGCATTGTTGACGCGTGCCTGTGCCTCCGACCGGGCGAGATCCTCGCGCCGAGGGGGATGGGCTTCTTCCCGCCGACGGGGAGGAGCTTTCCATGCTCGTCCGTCCTCGTCCGCCCTCGGGAGCTCGGGGCGCCGACCGAGGCCCGGGACTTCCACGACTCCGCGACGCGGGGCTTCCCCGAGCTGCAGTGGGTGACGACGCGCTTCGAGGAGTGGCGCGCGGCCGCGGACTCCAAGATGCGGAGCTTCGGTTGCAGCGACCTGGCCAAGGAGGTCCGCCGCGCAGGCCCCGCCGCAGCGTCGCCCGCTACGAGAAGGCAGGACAGGTCTCGAAGGACTTTTCAAGCTTCGACCAGAGGTGCGATGGGAGATGCGGTGGTGCGAGATAGACCTCGAGCAGGTGTTTAGCGTCGCCAAGGTCGGGTGACGGCGATGTTCGACTGGTTTGCTGGAGTCGCCCGCGCGTCGAAGGCCTTCGCCGGTCTCGGCCGGCAGGCGAGCACCTGCGACATCGGAGGCGGCCCGACCTCTGACATCACCAACCCACAGGTCCTCGGCAGGCTGGTCTGGAAGATTCGCCTGGCCCATTTCGATTACGTGATGATGGCGCCACCTTGCGCGACCTTCAGCGTGGCCCGTCGCCCAGCATTGAGGTCCGCCAGCTGCCTGTGGGGCGCCCCTGAAGCTGTTGATCGCCCTCAGCTGCTGGCGGCTAACTCTGCCGTGCGAGCCGCGCTGAGAAGAATTCGTCTAGGAGGTTTTTTCTAGAAGAATTTGTCCGGCACAACAGATTCCTTTCGCCTAGGAGAATCTTCGGATTCGCATGGTTTGGAAGCTGCCAGAGATCGCACATCTTACATCGCGGAGAGATAATCCGTACCATGATTGTGATTGACTTGTGCCAAGTGGGGGCGGCCGGAAAGAAACCGCATCCGTGCGGGTCGCTCTTTCGAAAAGAATATTGGCGCCCGTCGTTGTCATCCTCGAAGTTGTGCCGGTAGACGGATTGGGGCGGCCCGTGCTGGGCTATCTGGCACGGCCCCTGGAGGCCCATGGAGGACGTTAATCGCCCGAGCGTGCCCCGAGAAGTTCGCTCTCTTTCTGGCGTCCGTATTTCGTGATCAACTTAGGTCGGAGGTTGGGCGGTGTGTCCGACGTGGAACGGAGACCCCCCTCACCGGGAAATCGATTTCGGTTTCGGGTTCGTGTCGTGCGCGCCGCGCGCGCGCGGGCGAGGCGAAGCTGCGTGGGCGGGGGAGGAAATCCTCCTGTGGCTGGGCCGCGGCCGGACCCAATGTTTCTCCTCTTGGCTGCCGGTGGCCCGCGGTGCCCCTCCGGTGTCCCGCTGGTGTCCCGAAATCCGCGGCCGGACCGCGTGTTTTTCCTCCGGCGGCCGGTGTCCCGCGGTGCCCCGCGGTGTTCCGTGGTGTCCGGTGGTGTCCCGTTGAGTGAGATTGATTTTGAGATCGATACTGGGATCGATATTGAGATCGATGCTGCGATCGATGTCGTGCCCCGAGGTGTCCCGTGGTGTCCCATGAAGCGAGATCGATAGTGGGATCGACAGGTGTCCCCTGGTGCCCCGTGGTGTCCCGTTGAGGGAGATCGATAGTGAGATCGATAGTGAGATCGATAATGAGATCGACGTTGTGCTCCGAGGTGTCCCGTGGCGTCCCAAAATGTGAGATCGATGGTGAGATCTCTGGTGAGATCGGCAGTGGGGTCGATGTGGGGTCCCGACGTGTCCCGTGGCGTCCTATGGCGTCCCGTTGAGTGAGATCGATAGTGAGATCGATAGTGGGACCGATAGTGTGATCGCGAGGTGCCCCGCGGTGCCCCGTGGTGGCCCGTGGTGTCCCGTGGAGGCCCGTTGAGTGAGATCGATAATGAGATCGACGAGTGTCCCGCGGTGTCCCGTGGCGTCCCGTTGAGTGAGATCGATAGTGAGATTAATTAGGTCAGACGCTAGTTCCCCCCCGTGTCCCCCCCCCACACAACCCCCTTTATCACCCGAAGGGTGGTCGTCGGAGGTTGGGGGGTGAGTCCGGCGTGCAACGGAGACCACCCCTGCCAGGAAATCGGTTTGGGTTTCGGGTTCGCGTCGCGCGCGCCGCGCGCGCGTGCGGGCGAGGCGAAGCTGCGTGGGCGGGCGAGAGGAAATCCTCCTGTGGTTGGGCCGCGGACGGACCAAATCACTCCCCCCTGGCGGCCGGTGGCCCGCGGTGCCCCTCCGGTGTCCCGCTGACGCCCCGAAACCATTCTGTGGCTGGGCCGCGGCGGGACCATGCGTTTCTCCTCCAGCGGCCGGTGGCCCGCGGTGTCCCGCCGGTGCCCCGCTGGCGCCCCGAAGTCCTCCTTTGGCTGGGCCGCGGCCGGACCAAGCGATTCTCCTCCGGCGGCTGCATGGTGGCGCGCGGTGCTTCGCCGGCGTCCTGCTGGCGCCCCGAAATCCCCCCGTGGATCGGGTGGCGCCGCGAGCAGTCACTGTGGCACCGCAGCGCGGGCGTTCGACCTCGTCGACTAGCAATGATGTGAGGTTCGCGCGATTGATGTGATAAAGCGCGCGCGGGGACAGCGCTTCACCACAATGTCGAGTGCGCTTCGCCGACATCGCCACATCACATCACGCTCACATGCACAATCGCACTGCTCACTAGACTCCGGCCCACAGGCATCGCCAGAACAACAATGGCCACTTTTGCCCATTGTTGCCCCCCCCCCCAACCTCCTTAATTATCACCCGCAGGGTGGTCGTATAGGTATAACTGCTTACCCATTGTCACATGTGACATAACTTGGGTTTGGGTGGAGCTAGCCAGCCTGGCAAATGACGCCGTCTTTTACACTGGTCTTTTTTCGGCGCGTTGCTGCGCATCGTCAAGCAGAAGGATGCCCTGCCCCAGCTTGAAAATCAGATCATGTTGTGCGTGCGCGTGAATGATTGGTTTTCCCAGCGAGTTGGCGCATCTTGGTGGCAGGATTCTGGCACGGCCATGCGTCCTTAAACGTTGTTGCTCAAGCTTGTCTTGAACCCGCCGCCCGTCCGCAATAGCCCACCGTTTTTTTTTTTGTTTGCAGTTTTGTTTTGGCTATATATATATATATATATACACACAGAGAAGCTTCGCTTGCTCACTACTTTTAATCTTCTAATTCCCCACCGCCATGGGCGGAGCTGGCTAACGTGGCGATTGACTCCGTGTTTTACGCACGGAGCCTGTTTGGCGTGTTGCTGCCCGTCGGAAAACGAGATCATGATAATGACGACTGCAATTTTGATGAAAATGATGACTGCGACGATGCCGATGATGGTGATGATGATGAGGGTGATGTTGATGGTGATGGTGGTATTCATCATGATGATGTTGATGTTGATGCTCGTGGTGTTGATGTTGGCGATGTTGATGATGTTGGTGATGTTGATGTTGATGACGATGCGGGCAACGATGTTGATGCTGATGGTGCTTATGATACTGCTCAGGGTCACGGTTATGCGGCTGGTGGTCATGATGGTGATCGGGTTGGTCATGGTCAATGTGACGAGGACGGTGAGATTGATATTTTCTGATGATGGTGATTACGGTGATGCTGTTGGTGACGATGATGACGGTTCTGGTGATACTGGTGGCGGCGTTGATGATTATGTTGGTGCGGTTGATGATGTTGATCGTGCTGATTATGAGGAGGAGGAGGATGACGACGCTGACGATGACGACGGCGATGGCGATGCCGATGACGACGATGATGATGAGGATGATGTGAAGGCTGATGATGATGATTATGATGCTGCTGATGGTGACGATGATGAAGGTGATGATGATGCTGACGATGATCATAATGCTGATGGTGGCGATGGTTCTGAGGATGTTAACAGATGCTGCGGGTGGTGATGATGATTATGATGATGCTGCTGATGATGGTAATGCTGATGAAGGTGCTGAAGTTGATGGTGTTATTGGTGATGGTGGTGATGCTCATGATGATGTTGATGGTGAGTTTGTTGATGATGACGGCGTTGACACCGACGACGACGATGGTGATGATGATGATGCGGATGTTGATGTGTTATGTTTGTGATGATGATGATGCTGACGATGACACTGTTTATGATGATTATGTTTACTATGATGACGGTGATGACGATGATGGTGTTGATGCTGATGCTGTTGATGAAGATAATATTGATGGTGATGATGATTCTTTTTATGCTGATGATGATGTTGGTGCTGATGCTGATGCTGGTGATGATGATGCCGATGGGGAGGGAGGACGAGGAGGAAGAGGATGATGATGATGACAATGTCGATGAAACTGACGACGATGGTGACGATTATAATGTCGATGTTGACGACGACGACGAGGAATAGGAGGAGGAGGAGGAGGAGGAGGAGGAGGAGGAGGAGGAGGAGGAGGAGCGAGTGTCGCCCGTCTTTGGGCGGGCCCTGGATGACGACCACCGGGCGAGGTCCTTGGACGAGTCCTGGAACTTCGTCGCGCCCGACGCCTGCCTCTGGCGCATTGCGCTGGCTCTGCCGGCCACCCGCCGGGGGGCACGCGACAAAACATCGCGGCCGCCGTGCCTGGCCGGGGCCGTCCCCGCTCCCAGCGGGCTTTGCGATGGCTCCCCTTGGCCGAGGCCGGGAGGCCTCTGGCCTGGCACGGCGGCGGTGGTGGTGTGCACATCGGGGTGTTGCTAGAATCAGGAGGGGGAAAACCTCGCGGACACAATCTATCGTCGACTCTCAGGAGAGCTATGGGGAGAGATGTGAAGTGGGGGGGGAAGACGAGAACCAAGACAACTTGCTGGGCATCCTGGCAGCTGTCACAAAACGTCCCCAGTCTTTCACTCCATTCTGTGGCCTCTGGCGCCCCTTGGGCCTCGTGAGGGGTGCTCTGGAGGCCGGGGAGTCCTCCTTGGATCTCCTGGGGACACCTTGGGCCAGGGACACTTCCAGCAACACCCGAGCACTGCCCTCTGCGAAGGCCACCGCCTCGCGCCTGCGGAGCACGTGCAACCCGCTGCCCCAGGTGGTCCAGGACCACGCGCAGGACGGGCGGCTCGCAGACGTTATCGGGCCCCGGGGCCGGGCCGCGCATCGAACAGATCACATCGTCGGACGCATGGGCGGGGGCCTCTCAGAAGCCCCCATGCCCTCTAGGGCGCCTTCTGAGGATTGTCAGGGGCCTCTGGTTCAGTAGCAAGCGCGCCAGCCAACCTGTTAAAGCCCCGTTCCTTCACTATTGGTTGCAGCATAGGGCACGGGAGGATGAGGAGGACGAGGATGAGGAGGAGGATGTAGTATATGATGTTCCTTGCGTTTTCAGGATTCCTTTTCCTCCACCTCCTCCGCCCCCTCGAGCTCTTCCTCGGCCTCCTCCTCATCGTTCTCGCCTTCGTCCCCGGCCCTCCTCCTCGTCCCGCACCCAGGGCAGTAGCCGTCTCTCCCCCTCTCTCCCCGGAAATGTTGTAGTTGTCTCGCCCGACGCAGTAGCCAGCGTAATCTAGAGGCCCCGGCCTCGTCCACCTGGCACCAGCCAGTCGTGGTCGTTCGTTCGTTGCCGTGATCATGATCTTTCGTTCGTTCCAGTCCCCTCCGAGATCCGAGCAGGCCCCTGCCTTTCGGAAACCTGCCCCCCTCGCCCCACCCCGCGCAGAGTTAGAAGCAACCTGCATCACCGCCGCCTGTGCAGCTTGGCAGGGCCATCCTGGGCGCTGGCATTGCGTATGCGCCCTCCTCCTCCCCCTCTCGTCGCGCTCTCCCTTTTCGTCGCGCTCTGCCCTTTCGCCTGCTCCTCTTACTCTCCAAAAGATGCGCTTGAACGAAAACTGTGTATGCGCCCTCCTGGCCGAGGCAAGGAGGGCTTGTGCATCATCCCGGCCCAGCAAGGCCCTGGCCAGGCACGGAGGTGCTGGTGGCGCAGTGGGTGCCTTCCGCGACGGACGGCGGCGAAGAAGTCCGAACCCTACCCTCGCCGATGAACGATTCAGGCAACTCGACGGGCGGCGGGGGCAGGTTCGGATTTTCGTCGAACACGTGGCAACATCCGAGCGATACCCCCGCCTCCCATCGATTCAGGAGAATCGATGTCTGGTGAGGTTGAGTTCGGATGCCGCCGCCTATTGCGAAGGCCTTACGGCCGGTGTCGCCGACCCTGAAGGGGGACGAGGACGAGGACGACGACGACGACGGATGCCGCCGCCAAGTTGCGACGCGCCGCCAGCAGGAGCTCGTGGACCTTCTCGCCAAGGCCGCCGAGGACGTGCGGCTCACCCCCCTGCTGCGGCCGGCGGCCCCGCCCGCGGCCCCGCCCGGGCTCGACGGCAGCCGCGGGCCGCCCGGAGCGGCGGCGGCCGCCGCGCCCGCAGCGCGGCAGGGCGCGGCGCCCCCGGCGGCTCGCCAGCAGCCGGCGGCGCCCGCCAGGGAGTGGCCATGCAGCGCGGGGGCCAGCGGCGGCCCGATAGTGCCGGTGGTGTGCGGCAGGCCCCGCGAGAATCGGGGAGACGTACGACTCGAGTATGCCGGATCTCGAATTGGCCGACGTTTTTTGATGAGCGCGTCCTGGATTTTGACGGTCCAGTTTTCTTGGGATGTTTGCAGCGGGAATTCGCGTCAAATTTCAGATTGTCACCGAGCGCGTTCCACTACTCGCAAACTGCCTACTCGCAAACGTTGGACGAAAGATGTCTTCCTCTATGACATAGAGCGTAACGTCCCGCGGCGGATTCAGGCCATTGGCTAGTAGCTACTTTGCGAGTAGTGGAACGCGCTCGTCGAGATTGGGTCTCGGCATTTTCATGGTGGCCCCGTCATGCCACCCACGAGTCCCCCGTACCCAAGTCTCACGTCTCCCCGGGAGGAGCCCGGGCCTCCCAGATGGGGTCGGAGGGTCGCGCCGCATCGCCGAGGCATCGCCGATGCGGCTCGATGTGGGGCCCGCTCTTGCGTATAATTAGCCAGGACCCCAGGTAAGTAAGGGGACCCGGTTAGTAGTAGGGCCCAGGACCGCCTAAATTGGCCAGAATCTTTACACCAGGTCTGCCGTAGCTGGTGCATTTTCGGGTGACGGCAGTTCCGGTTAGTGAAACGGGGCGGGGTGGGCGTCCCCCAGTACACATCATCATTAAACCAGGTCACACTAAACCTAGTTCTGCCAACGCCCGAGTGGGGCCCGCTCTTCTCCGCGCCGGTGGCGCCGATGCATCGCCGATGCGGCGCGATCCTCGGACCACATCTGCTCGGACCCATCTGGAAGGCTTCCCCTCGAGATTCCGGTGTTTTTTCGCCCTTTGGGGGGCCTTTGGGGGCCTTCTCGTCGGAACGGCCGGATTCCCTCCGAGATTCTGGTCTGAGCGCGCCCCATGACAGGTCCCAGGGGCCAGGCTCCTCATCGTCCTCCCCGCTATGCAGCTCGTTCCTCACTCATGCTACGGTTCATTGCGTGAGTTTGCCCACCGCATGGCGGCTCTTGTGGTGTTCCCGGGTTGCTTGACGACCTGTCGATCCGCACAGCGGTTTAGGCCGAGTCAGGGAAGGTTCTGTGGGCGCGCTCCTTGTCTCCTCTCCCCCTTCAAGAAGGAGGCTCTGAGGGAGACGGGCTCTCCTTTGTTTTTTTGGGGGGGATCTCAGGTGGGGAAAATCATACACAGACGCAAGTAATCGTCGATTCCCTGGGCACATATAGGAAACTATGGGAAGCGTGGGGCGGGGAAGACGGACAACATGGGGAATCATGGGATCTGTGTGGATTTAACCCGAAGAAGCTTTTAAGAACCCCCCCGGGGTTATCTTAGCACCGCAATTTTATTCCATATTCCGCGGGACCATTTCCGCCGAGCGATATTTGTAGCACCGCGGATGCTACGGAATGCTAAGAATTCCTAGGGAATGCTAGGGATTCCGAGGGAATGCTAAGAATCCTAAGGGATGCTAGGAATTCCTCGGGAATACTGAGGAATGCTGGGAATCCCAAGGGATCTGGGTCGAGATCCATGTGGCATCCTAGGGAATCCTAGGAATTCCGAGGGAATGAGAGAAAGTCCAAAGAAATGCCAAGGAATTGCCAAGGAATGCAAAGGGAATGCAGAGGCATATTCTAGGGAATGGTGCGCATCTCCCAAGGAACCTTAAGACCATGCAAATGATTTCAAGAAGTACTGTGAGTCTGTGGAATCCTCGGAAATGTGAGGGATCCCAGCATTTCCTGGGAAATGCTAGGGACAGCTATGGAAGGTCTAGCCAAGGACTGGTTCAATAAATGTTAGGGAGTTCCTGCAAAATCTCAAGGATGTCCTAGGAAATGCTAAGATTCCTAAGAATGCGAGGAATTCCATGCGAGGATTTGTCGATGAGATTTCTATTACAATCCCCTTTGGGAAATTGATTTTCTTCGGCCGTTGTAGGGGGTGGTCACCCCAGGGTATCGCCCCCGCTCCGCACCGAGGCGTTATCTTAGCACCCAGCAGGCCCCCCCCAAACAATCCCCGAGCGAGAGTATGAATGGGTCACAGTGTAAATTGAACCATGAATGAATCTGCATATAATTGAGCCAGAGAAAACCAAGGAAAAGCTAAGAGAACCAAGGAACAATGAGAAGACACAGGAAAAGCTAAGACAGCCAAGGAAACACTAAGAAAACAAAATAAAAGCTTAGACAACACATTAAACAACTGAGAATACTTAGGTCAACCTCAGAACATCAAAAAAAATGGCCAGCTGAGAAAACACATGAAAAGCTAAGACAACCAATGACAAGTTAGGAAAACCACAGGTGCTGGGACGACGCTTCCAGGGTGCGGAAGGGTTATCGTTGCGTCGGAAGGGGGGAGGGGGGTTCTTAAACGCTTCTCCGGGTTATGTGTGTGTGTGTGTGTGTGTCCCTGGGCCCCTTTATCCTCGCCGTCCAGGCCCTTCTGGGCCCTCCCGTCCCGGCCCTGGGGGAGGCCCGCGGTGCGGACTGCTCTCGGAGCGCGTTGTGCCGGGATCCCCGGGGAAAGTGGGGCCCCTGCGGGGCCTGGGGCCCGCTGCCCGGGGAGGGGAGCAGAAGCACCCACAGACGCAATACAAGGAGTCGTGGATTCCCAGGAAAACATTGGGAAAATACGGGAAGTGGGGGGAAAGACGAAGACCCAGAAAACATGGGACAATATGGGAAGCCTGGGACCTGTGTCTACACGATGTGTCCCTGGGCCCCTTCCCTGCCCCTCGCCTCAAGTTCGGCTGCCACTCCTGGTCCGAAGACCGGCTGAATCAATCGGGCTCAATCCGGCTCGATCCCACTGACCTTGGCTTAGTCCCGCGTCTGCCTGAGGACATCCATGCCCTCATGCAGCTCATGGGAGGCAAGATTCTGACTTTGCCCTGTTCCGAAGTCTGGCTGAATGCGGCTTAATCCGGCTCGATCCCGCTTACTCCGGCTCAATCCATCTAAATTCGCGGCCAAATTCGGTGTAGCACCCCCCGGATCGGGTTTTCTCCTCCCAGTCGTTGCCTCCTGACTTAAAGGAGGAAAATCAAGAACGAAAGAAGGACGTGCATGTACATGAGTCCACGGCGGTTTCGAAAGTACGCGTTGTGCGAACGTTCGTTTCACGAGGCTGCTCTCGCGGACTGGCAGGCCATATTCATGTGCGTGGTTGGGCGCTTGCGTTTTTTGTGGGCTCCCTCGAACAATCACCCGGACTCCCTGCATTGGCGTTTGCTACACGGCCCTGGGCGTTTACGAAACGGCCCTGCCCTTCTCGGTTCCTCCCTCGGGGTGCGCTTACGACACGGCCTCGCTCGGCGGGGTGCCTCTCGTCCGAGGGCGGCCTCTCTGCTCTCCCCCCTCCCCTCTCGTGCCGGAGGCAGCGCGCCCCGAACGGCTCGGGCGACCCCCGCATGGTCCTGGGCTCGCTCTTCGACGGGGGCAGCAGCTCGTCGGACGGGGAGGCGGGCGCCGCGGCCGCGGGCGGCCTGCCGCCTGGCGGCCCGCCGCCGGGCGGCCGCGGCAGGGTGGACGCCATCCGCAGCGCGCTGCGCTTCCTCCCGGCGGCGCCCGCGCCGGGCGCCTCCGCCGCCGAGGCCCGTCGGCGGCGCTCCCCAGGGGGGGGCCCAGACCTCCACCGCCCACCAAACCGCCCTCACCCGACCCGAAGGCCCCGATCTGCACGCCATTTCCAGTGGGGGCTGGGTCGGGGAACATTGACAAAACACGTGTGAAACCCGTCCCCCCCCCCACCCCGAAATTCGGGCAATGTTCGGGTCTTCGGGTTGGGTTGGGGTGGTCTGGTAGGTAGTCAAGACCCCCCCCTCGCATCGTGGCAAACATCGCGAGGGGAGTTTTTGTTGTTGTTGTTGTTGTTGTTGTTGTTGAACATTATTTCTTCTTAAGAATAAGTATTGTTGGGACCCCTGGTGCATGGCCCCCCCGCCGCGCCTAGGCCGCAGCCACGTTTTCATCATTTTCGTGAGGAAGTCTCAGGTAAAACGATGTCATCCAGATCCGGTTGTGTTGTTACGATCGGTTTTCCCTTGCAAAAAATAAGTTAAAGTGGACATTTCTTGTTCTAACATAACCAAGCTTCAAGAATCCCTTGCAAAAAATAAGGTAAAGTGGACATTCGCGCGCGCAAGACGAAATCCTTCCAAAACCTTAGTTTTCGTAGCGATTTTAACATAAAAACATAAAACAACATTTTTTTTAAATGTCAAACATTCATCCCGCGCGCTCTTGCGGATTCGTAGGAAACCCAACACTTTTTAATCATTTCTGTCAAACGGGCTTTTGCGAGCAACTTTTTCGAACTTCTGCAACAACGGTTGCGCACCTGCCAGGGCCATCATCCCTGTCAAATAATATCATGCGGGACACATTCGTTTTTTCTTCGCGCGCGCACGCCGTCGTCGTCGGCCGCGGGGCCCTGAATAGTAGCCACGGTCGTCCGCATGCCACGAAGTGAAGTGTCCGAACGTCATAGGGCGGGAAGCTGGGTGTGGGTGGTGGCGAAGAGTCGTTTGGAAATTTGGTAGAGCTTGAACCGGCCCCCCCACAAAGTGGGGGTATTGCCCGCCTCCTATGAAAACCCTGGCACTGGTGAGAACGGTGTGTCCCCACGTGCTAGTAATTGTTGTTGTTGTTGTTGTTGTTGTTGGCAGTTTTCGTTCTCTGGGGGCCCTCGTCGTGCCCCGGACCGTCAACAGAGCGGCTCGGGACGAAGCGCCAGGCCTGGAACATGGGTTGAGACCTCCAGGGGTCCACGCCACGAACAGATCATGACGTGTGGGGTCTGGGGGATGGGGTTGGGGGGGGCACTGGGGGGGGGATTTCTTTGAGGCCTCCCCGCCTGATGGATTTTCTCTGATTGTCTCTGCTTGATCGAGGCGCCCTCTACTATTAAGTCGGGCGCGTCCCTCTACAGGAGCAATATTCAAACATAGTACAACAGTATTCTGGGTACGTTGTTCTAGCATATGTTTTCATTATTTGTTTGCGAATATTTCTTGAATAGCTTCTATTTATCATACAAGCTCTGCCTGTGGGGGGACATGCCCGACCTAACTCTAGTGCTGCCAACCTTCTGGGCCCTCCCATGAAGCTCCCCCCCAGGCCCTCTGAGGCAGCCGCCCCCTGGGGCCACGCCCTTCCGCAGACGTCAGACGGATTGCCCCAGCGTCCACATCGACTACGTACATAATTCTGGTTTCCCCAGATGTTTCTTCCCTCGAGGCGATCAACATCGCGCAGATGTTCCGCAGATCTGGGCACTTCTTGCGTTTTCGTTGGGGCAGACTTAACGGAGCCATACATGTTTGGGGTACGTCACTTCTGCTGCCGATCTCCTGGTCGAGAGGGGTCCCGACCCCTTCCGCGGGGGCAGCTTCTCCCAGCCGCATCGATCTCCGACGGCCCTGGTGCCCGACGAACAGATGGTTCGCGCGTGAACCCAAACCGCCAGAGAACAGCCGCTGTGCGTTGTCAACCGTGAATGGAACGACGACGATGATGATAGCGGCGGCGCCGGAGACACCGGCGGCAGCGGCGGCGGAGGCGGTCGGGAGCCTTGAGACGGGGGTCAGCCAGAGCGCCCAATCTTGCAGGATCCTGCAGGGCCAGGGTCGCATTGACCAGGGTCTGGGTGCAGGATCCTGCAGGATCCTTCGCATTGACCCGGGATTGGGCGCAGGATCTTGCAGGATTTTGCAAGGCCTGGATTGACCCGGGTCAGAAGATCCCCGAGGCGGCGGCGGCGGCGGCGACCGTCGTCGTCGTCGCCGCCACCGTTTTCGTCGTCGCCGCCGCCGCCGTCGTCGTCATCGTCGTCGCCACTGTCGTCGCCGTCGTCGTCGTCGTCGCCGTCGTCGCCGCGGTTGCGCGCTGCCCAGCAGGCCGCCCAGCGCGTGGTCCCCGCGGCAGCCGCGGGCGCCGCGCCGGACGCCTCGCTCGCACCAGGGGCGGTCGTCATGGCGGAGGAGCCCGTCGCGCCCCTGGGGCGGAGGAAACGCAAGCGCAGGGCGGGCGCCCCGGAGAAGCGCCGGGACGTCGGCCGGGCGCTCTCCCCTCGGGTCGGGTTGATCGAATTGGGCACGGAAAGAACGGGTACGATATGTGCGCGCCAGAGTGGCAGAGATCGCCTTTCTCTTTAGGACCCCCCTTAGGGGAGACTGCACCCTGGTGGGTGCGAGTGCCGAGTGTGGGTGCCGAGTGTCGGCGCCGATTGTCGGTGCCGAGTGTCGTTGCCGAGTGTCGATGCCGAGTGTCGGCGCCAAGTGTCGGCGCCGATCGTCGTTGACGCGGGGGTCTCTAAAGAGCTGCCCCACCAGACACACAAGGTACGATACCCATCAGCAGTTCCTGTTCATTTTGGATAGGACTCGCTGTCCGCGCCGCCGCGGACGTTTTCCTTGAAGACATAGAGCCGCCTGCCCAACAGAGGCTGCTGCCGGTTTTGGACCACATTTGTTGTTGGGTATTGTGCCACTTGTTGTCCGTACCCATTTAGATGGCACGTGGGATTGCGCGTGGAGGGGCCACTGGGTCACCAGTTTCACTTGTAGGTTGGCAGGGAAAACGTTAGATGGTGAGAATATGCACCCTCTTGGGTGGAGTTTCTGCGCGTGGCTCTTGACGGGTGATCACGAACAGTTCGCGGTAACATTAAAGCTCCCCCATTTGAACAACCATTTGTTGTGTTGGGAATGCACGTGCAGTTCAGAAGCATTTCCCCCCCGAGAGGTTTCGGATATGCTTAGCACACGTTTGGAACGATAGTTGTTTCGGACCGGGTTTAAGGCTCGACTGATGTTTCAGCGCTTGACGTTACCGCAACCGTTCTGGCTCTAGCGCCGTGAGGTGAAAAGCGATCCTCTCGAGGCCCTGCGGGGCCCAGCATCGATCATGTGATAGTAACGCGATTCCGCGGATGGTAGCGGATCGTGGCCGAGGCAGGATCACCCTCCGTGTCCTGGTGATCTTCGGTCACGCTGCCGTGGCGGGAGCCGCGGCGATGGAGGCCCTCGCGAAGCGCGTGCGTCGCATGGAGGGCGAGGTGACACGGTACCGCGAGGTGTTCGCGGAGAACGATAATCAGCGGCGGAGATTGGACGCCGCGGAGCAGCGTTTGGCCATGGGCGAGCAACGCGCTGGATAGCGCGACGGCGGCGCAGCCGCAGCAGCAGCAGCACCAGGTCCGAGCAGCGGACAGGTTGCTGAACAAATCGCGGACGTTCACGGGCTTGCATTCGGAATGGGATATATGGCCGTTCGACTTCGAGGCCTACGTGTTCGCGGTCCACCCCCGATTGGGGGAGTTGCTCTACCAGGCGTCGAGAACGGCGGGTGCGCTGGCGGCGCAGACCGAGATGGACGCCATGTTCAACACACAGTTGTACTACATCCTGGTCTCGGTGACGTCGGATGTGGGGGAGGTTGAGGTCAGCAAAGCCCCACGAGGAGACGGGCTCGCTGCGTGGTGGCACCTGCTTCGGGAGTTCGCACCGAAGGAGGCGAACAGGTTCGCGGCCATGCTCGGTCGGAGCATCCGATGCGAGTTTGCGGCCCCCGTGATGACGAACTTGGCGGAGTCAGGGCAGCTCGTCAGGGAGTGCGCGGACCAGAGCGGCGAAATGAGTTCGGGCAACATGAAGCGGGGCGTGATCATGTCGGGCATCAAGAACGAGAAGCTGGCGGACCACCTCAGCTTGAATGCTTCGCGCTAGGTCGCGCACGACGGCCTGAGGACTAGGCTGAAGACGACCTGCTCATCAAAGCAACATTGGGCAGCAGCGGACTCTGGAGGTGACTGCGTAGTCCCGATGCAGGTCGATGCAACCGGTAAAGGCAAGGGCAGAGACGGCACGGGCACAGGGCATGGGCGGCGAAGGAAAGAACGGCGGCCCCAAGAGGAAAAAGGGCGACTCCACGGGCAAGGACCGAGAGACCTGCAGTTGCCACTACTGCGGCAAGGCTGGCCACCTCGCAGCCGACTGCCGCAAGAAGACGGCGGGCGAGAAGAAGGGCAGGAAGGTCGCGTCGCTGGCGGGCGCGACCCAGGTGCAGCCTTCCGCCTCGACGGCAGCGACGGCGCTGAAGGGGGGAAAACACTGGCTCGCAGAGCAGCCTAAGCCCCCGCGATCGACGTGTCTCACGTGGCAGCAGTCCTAGCCCAGATGCAGTTGCAACAGCAGCGAAGTCCACCGTCGACGAGCGCTACCGTTCACATCGCGAGCATCCAGGTGGCAGGCGACGCTGACATCCCGACGCCCGAGGAGTGCGACTGGCAGGTCGGCGTGCTGTGCGCCACGACGCAGTGCGATGCGCTGCCAGTGACGGCCGGCGACTCAGTGGAGTTCGACTGGGCGCTCTTCGACACAGGCTCAGGGCTCACCACCTGCCCGCAGGAGTTCGCGAACATGACCGAGATGCGTCAGCCCAAGAAGCGGCCGCTTTGCGAGTCGGCGACTGGCGACGAGGTAAGTCCATAAGCGCGAGGATCGTGGCAGCCGAGAGCGACGGAGTACCTCTCCAGATCGAGTTCCAGGTCACGAACGACGAAAGCGAAGCGCGCCATCGTTAGCGCCGACACCTTCACGGAGGGAGGTCATGTCCCGATCTTCGGCAAGGACCCTTGCGTCCTGCTCGGGGGGTGGCCGCTAGATCAAGCTATACAGGAGCGGGGGGGCGTTCTGGCTGGGGATCAGGAGGCCTTCGAGAACGTCGCCGAGCCGATCCTCGCCAACCCCGTGCAGCCGAACGCTGAGGCCCGAGCTGTTCCGCGCGAAGCACCTGCTGGCGAGGGAGATGCAAGGCCTGAGGCCGACGCCGATCCACCAGCACCGCCGCCTCCGCCGGCGCCGCCCGCTGCCGGCGCTGGCCAGGATCAACCAGACCAGGAAGGAGGTCAACGCGGGGCGTTCGACGACAGCGAGACCACGGGGCGCTACTGCGGGTTTCTGGAGGAGCCGCGGCGGCTAAGGCGAGAGGGATCCCAGCGATGCCAGACCGAGCGGTTCGAGACCATCATCGTCTCACGCACTGGCCCTTCCGCACGCGGTGCTTGTTCTGCGTCATGGGCCGTGGTCAGGAGGGCCCTCGCACCGCGCGCTTAGCGGGCGCCAGCCGCCTGATCCCGCTGGTCTGCATCGACTAGTTGTTCCTCGGAGACATCGAAGGCGACCCCCTCGCGGCACTGAACATCCTGGCGTACCAGTCGGGCGCGATCGAGTGCGCGCAGATGGCCGTGGAGGGGCCTGCGGACTGCCGTAGCAGGGGCGACGGCGGCGATGCGCATGTGGGGCCTCGACCGCTTTCATCTTGGAGCTGATGGAGAACCTGCTTTCCAAGCCTTGGTCCGAGCCGTGCAGCTGGCTCGAGAGGAAGAGACAGTGCCTCACAGCGGACCTAGGCGATATCCCACGAGCAAGGGAACGATCGAGAACGCCAGCAAGATGGTCGAATGCATGTTCCGCACACTGAGGCCATCGATCGAGTCGAGGTACAGCACCAAGCTCACCTTGAACCACTGGGCCATGGGCTGGATGATTCGGCATGCAGGATGGCGCCTGTCAAGGTGCCCAGTGAAGGAGGATTGCCTCGCGCCCTACCAGCGCCTGAAGGGCCGCGCGCACGGGGGAGCGATCTGCGAGTTCGGCGAGACGGTGGTGCATAAGATCCAGAACGTGGCCCACCACAAGGCGGATATCCGCTGGGGCAAAGCCGTCTGGGTCCGGAAGGACAACCGCACGGACGAGCACCTCCTGGCGACCGCTGCTGGTCGGAAGACGGCGAGGACGATCAACGGGCGAGTTGAGGACCAGCGATGGTGCAAGTGCTTGTTCAACAAGGTCGAGTGCACGCCGTGGGGCGCTCGCGCAGGACCCGAGGCAGCGCCGCCTCCCCCGCGCCGCCGCTACATCACGAGGGCCATCATCGATCGGGTTGGACCTGCACCTGGTTGCGACGGCCGCTACGGGCTCGTTCACCCGCGCACCGAGTCCTGCAGAGATCGGGTCGAGAGCCTGCTGAAGGCCGAGGAGGAGAAATACAAGCAGGAGGCAGCAGTTCGAGCTGCCGTTTCCGCGGCAGCTCCAGCGCCCCCATGAGGGGGATATCAGCCTGCTCAGCCTGCGCCCGCCGGCGAGCAACCTGCGCCAGCAGCATCGGCTCCAGCGCCACCTGCTGTCCTACATGGCCCAGAGGCAGATCCAGGCGGGGGACATCGCAGGCGTCGGCTTGAGGCAGCCCCCCCCCCCCTCGGATCCGACGCAGGAGGAACCCCCGGCGCAGGAGCAGCACGACGGAATGGGGCTCGGGATGATTGAGATGGACTGGAACGGGACCGTGGTGAAAGTTGATCGCGGGCCTGTTCGTCAACGTGGCGACCGCAGTGCTGGCGCCGACGTGCGACGCCATTCCCTACGACAGCGAAGTGGGCGCCAACGCGCACGGCATCTACGACAGGGAATCGACCTAGCAGAACGTGTTCGGGGCTAGGTCAGGCAGGCGGCTGGACCCTTCCTTGGCGAAGCAGGGCAGGGAGAAGGAGCACAGGCAGATGGAGGAGTTCCAGGTCTTCAGCCGCGTGCCTAAGAACTTCGCGAAGAGCAAGCGCGTCCGCGGGAAGTGGGCAGATGATGAGCGCTACGACGACGACGGCAGGTAGTCGGTCAGGTCGCGCTTCGTGGCCGTGCAGTTCGCCTGGGACGTGCGGGGCGACACTTTCGCAGGCGCGCCACCGCTGGCCGCGTTCAGGCTGGTTGATCCTTTCGCGTCGAGCCTCTACTCCACGGGGGCCGGCTACGACGGCATGCTCGCTCTCTGCGACGTGTCGGTGGCGTCCTTCCACGCGTACATCGGCGAGGACATCTACGCGGTGCCGCCCACTGGAAGGGGGCCCTAAGGCATCGTGTATCAGCTGAAGAGGGCACTCTACGGCACCGTGAGGGCCTCGTTCTTGTTTCAGAACCTGAGCATGGAAATCATGGAGAAAGGGGGCTTCGTCCGAATCCAGGTGACG